CACAAGTCACCCCAGTACCACAAACTGACAGATGAGTGGTGGCTTGTCAGATGCATGGAGATGAGAGATTCAGTAAAATTCAGCAAATGCAACTCAAAGCAATACAGCTCAAACCACAAGCTAATCATCAGTAACTGAAAGTACATTTTCAACTCTGCAGCTGAGCCACTGTACTATGATAGATAGATGGATAGACTTCTAAAGCTCAACAGCAAAATGACAAGCAATCCAATTAAAAGATAGGCAGAGGACTTGGATAGACATTTCCTAAAAGAAGATATACAAATGGCCAATAAGTACATGAAAGGATGTTCAACATCATATGTCATCAAGGAAATGCAAATCAAAAACACAATGAGCAACCACTTAACACATTTTTTTACATGAAAGAAAAATAAACTTTTATTTGCTTAAAACTTTGTATTGTCAGTCTCTGTTACTAAATACTAAATATTATTCCTAAATGGATTCGGAAAATGGATGCACCATAGACCATTTATTAAAATGGAAAGTACTGGATAAAGAAACAGGAGAAGAAAAGGGATTGGAATTAAAGTTTGCATATAATTAATTTTAATACAACTGAAAGATATCTAAGGGGAGATGACAAACGAGCAGCCTGAATATATAACTCTACATGCATTAAGAAGGCTATACAAATACATGCATATATACGTATGAGAGGTTTCTGTCAAGGCCATGAAATGTTATGGCTATATGTCAACTTTTTCAATCTTTTCTGACTTTAGATTATGGTTTTTAAGTAATCTTTCTGATTTTACTTCAAATTTAATGTTAAATTACTGTTTAATTAATTATTTAATTTTTCCACACCATAATTAAGCAGTGATTTCAATGGTAAATTTCTCCAGATTTGTCACTAATGAGTAACTCTGGGAACTGAGTCTCCAAGGTCAAGAAAGATTCTTTCTGGTCCCAAGTGACATGAAGATTGGTAATGTTCGATTCTTAACCTGAAGCAGCTCTACCTTCTTACATGTTCTCACCAAGGTTGGCAAAAACCACCCTGAATTCTCTGGTCTGTTCTGTCCACCAAGAGCATCAAACATCAAATAGAGTGGAGATTTTTAAGGTTGTCACTCATGAGATGGAGACTGGGAAGCCAACAGCTAAGCGTGCAAGGTGACATTTGACAAGGTAATGGACTCAGAATTCAAAAATGGTATAAATTCTGCAATATTAGGTCTAGATAACCTTAGAAGGCCATTTACTTTGTGAATCTATTTCCAAGTCAGTATGGAAATCTATAAGAAACTGTGGGAAATTGCTACAAGGTAGTATATGTGGAAATATCTAGTAGCAAGTTAAAGATGGAGTTTAGGAGATTGGTTGGAATTGAAGATATAATTTGAAAGTTATCTTTTTATAGATATTTAAAGCAAGGAACTAGCAAATAGAGAAGAGGTTCAAAAGTGAATAATAAAAGAAGAGAAGGAGCCAGTAAGGAGACTGAGAAGTTACTGCCAGAAAGTTCACTGGAAAACCAGAGCATATGGCGGTATCCTCAACCCGAAGCAAAGAAAATTGTTTGACACAGAAAGGTCAAGTAACTAAAGGGCTAAAAATAAAACTCTAAATTAACAAGAGTAAGTTCCGTGTAATGGCAAGGGCAAACGCTTGATTGATGTGAGTTCAACAGGGAATAGAAACTAAGACAATGAGTTTGTAGAGTAATTAGCAATGAGTTTTTGAAAAGTTTGGCCATAAAGAGCACTAGCTGAAGGATATGGTGGAGATATGCTAAGATATTGGGAGACAGTCCATCTGAGACTGAAGTTATAGAAATGAACAGAGAAGACCTCACAACTTCTAGATGCTGAAATATTATTCACATGACCTCCATACTGAGCTATATGTGGCCTGAAATCCAACTTGAGCTTCAGATTTTCCAAATGAAAAACCTGGTAATGTATATAACAACATCAAAAAATTCAACTTGGTAGAAGCTCTGTCTGAGCTTCAGAAAGTATTACCAAGATAAATAAAGAAGAAGGGAAAGTCTTAATCTTGTAGTAGATGGGGAATTCTCAAGTTCTAATTAAAATAGAGAGAGAACTAGAAATATTAGAGGACTTCAAAAAGTTAGTGGAAAATGAAATAAAAAGACAAAAATTTAAAATATAAACTTAATTTCTCAAAATGATCTCCATGAAGGTCAAGACACTTTCATAAGTGATGACACCAGCCATTTAGCCCATCCCTAACGACCCATGTCAATGCAGTTTCTTTAGCATTCTTCTTTTTTTAAAAAATCGTGCCCTTTAAAAACTTGTTAAGATTGCTGTTGTTGTTAAGTGCCCTTGAGTAGGTTCCTATTCATAGCGACCCTCTATAGAGTCTCCGAAGAGCAGCTGGCTTGAACCACCCACCTTGTGGCCCATTGCATTATCCTACAACACCACACTAGGTGAGGAAACAAAAACAAAAATAATCCAGAAGGAGCCAGATCCGTTGAAACTCTCACGAAGTTGCTCTTGTTTGATGAGAGGAATGAGCAGGAGCATTCTCATGGTGGAGAAGAACTCTCTGATAAAGTTTTCCTGAGTGTTTTTCTGCTAAATCTTTGGCTAACTTTCTCAAAACAGTCTCATAATAAGTATATGTTATCATTCTTTCAAGCAAAAGTCCTTAAGCATTAAAAAGAAAGAAAAAAATTGTTGCCAAGGCATTTGCTCTTGGCTGGTGTATTTTTGCTTTGACTGGACCACTTTTCCCTCTTGGTAGTCATTACTTTAATTGTGCTTTATCTTCAGGATCGTACAAGTAAAGCCATCTTTCATCTCCTGTTACAATTTTTCCAAGAAATACTTCAGAATTTTGATTTCACTTTTAAAAATCTGATTGAAAGTTCTGCTCTTGTCTACAACTGATTTGGGCACAACAGTTTTGGCACCCATCTGGAACAGAAAGTTTCATCAACTTTAATTTTCAGTCAGAATTGTGTAAGCTAAACCAAATGAGATTCCTATGGTATTGGCTATTGTTTCTGCTATTAATCATAAGACCTTTTAAATTAGGGCACAAACAAGATGGTTTCCTCAAAAATTGATGTGGATGGTCCTCTGCTGTGGGCGTCAACCTAAATATCATCTCATTCCTTCTTAAAACAAGTTTCCATTTGTAAATTGCTGATTCTTTTGTGTCATTGTCTCCATAACTTTTCATAAAGCATCAATGATTTCACCATTCTTCCACCCAAGCTTCACCATAAATTTGATGTTTACTGTTGCTTCAATTTTAACAGATTCCATGTTGTTCTGATAGGGGCTGTTTTCAAACTGATGTCTTACCCTTCTTTGTACCTCAAACTAGATCCTATTCTGCAAGTTACTATGAGTTTATTTTAATGCAAAAAAAAAAAAAAATTAACACATAGCTTCTCCATTATATATATTTTCCATTTGAAGACTCCTCAGAGGGGGAAAAGGAATAAAGGAATGGTACAGGCATGGTTGATATGATGCCTTCTATTTTGACTTCTACTCAGCAGACTAGCAACATCAGTACCACCTGGGAACATGCTATTATTGTTAGGTGCTGTTGAGTCATTTTCAACTCATAGCGATCCTGTTTCATCCTCAAAACCGTTGCTGGGTTTGAGCCCAGCATTTTTGCCACTGTGTCAAGTCATGTCACTGAGGAGCTACGCCTTCTTCACTGACCCTCTGCTTTCCCAAGCATAATGTTCTTTTCCAGGGACTGATTCTTACTGAGAGTATGCCCAAAGTGCATTAAGAAAAAGTACATCTGGAGCATTCTTGCTGTACACCAAGACAGATTTATTCATTATTTTTCCAGTGTGTGGTATATTCAATATTCTTCATCAATGCCATAATTCAAAAGCATCTCACTCCAGATCAAAATCTTTGGGGTGGAGCACAAATATCTGCAATTTAACTAGCTTACAGGTGGTTCTCATGCACACTGAGGTTTGAGGGACACAGTTCTCAAGTATTCAAATAAAATACACATGAAGTTGGAAAAAGTTATGTCTAATATTTATCCTAAATCACTGATCCATTGGAATACTTAAAGATTGATATAATAAAGGAAGTTATGAGTACATAAGTGGATAAAGAAAATGAAACTATGCCTGTCACATGATCCATCATAAGACTTTGATTATAAGCTCAAAAGCTTGCTCAGAGAATGAGACGATGAAACAGGAGTTGACTCCGAGTGAAGGGAGGGAACATGGCATATGGGAGGGAATGAAACGCAGTCAGTGTGGTTTAGGAGCAAAGAATGAGTGGACTATGGTGCAAGATGAGATTGGTGAAGTGCCTTGCGGTCAAAATTACACTGAGTTTTGAAGTAAATGTTAGGAATTTTTTTAAAAAAATTTTTTTCATAACTTCAATGTTCTCCATTGCTTGTTTTTTACTTTTTTTTAACAAGAAAAGACATGCATTATTTTGAAACAAAGAAGTGACATGACCATATTTTCTTTTCTGTAACAAATCAATTTGTCTGCTGTGTGGCCTTGTATTGGACAGGGCAAAAGTGGGCAGGTTAAACTAATTAAGAGAGAGCAGTACTCTAATCAATCAACAATGGCTTGAACTAGAATAGTGACTACACCGGTTAATAGGAGCAATTCTTGACCTTCTACAATGTCTAAATACTAGAATTCAGCCTGTGTCTTCAAAAAGCTCACAATCTAGAAAAGATTCACAAACAAGTAGTTCTACCATCCTGTAACACAACGTTTCATTAAAAGAGATCTTTCATACTGAAAGAATTCCAGGAAGCCTCCATTGTTCCCCTCATTCCTTCACTTTGTGCATCCTCACTTTCACCATCCTGTATGAAGTTCAACTCTCATTCCTTCCATTGCTACTTTTGTTTCTTTTCTCCATTCTTCATAGTGGTGATTTAAGGGAAAACCATATGACCCAGGATGCAACTCACACCAGTGCCTGAAAGTGAGTGAATCATCTTCACATTGATCCCCTTCTTGCAGTAAACCAAAGCCCAGAATGAACTGCAGCAAGGCCCCTGACTTTGTCCTCTTGGGGTTGTCCAATGATCCTGAGCAACGGCAGTTCTTCTTTGGTGTCTTCCTAGCCATCTACTTGCTGGGCCTCCTAGGCAACTTGCTACTTCTGCTGGCTATTGGTACTGACATTCACCTACACACTCCTATGTACTTCTTCCTTGGCCAGCTTTCTCTGGTGGATCTCTGCTTCACTTCCACCACAGCTCCCAAAATGCTGGAGACTTTGTGGACCAGTAATGGATCTATCTCTTTCTTTGGATGCCTGGCCCAATTATACTTCTTTGCTGTATTTGCTGATATGGACAGCCTGCTTTTGACTGCCATGGCTATCGATCGCTATGCTGCTATCTGTCATCCTCTGCGTTACCCACTCCTGATGACTCCTTGCAGATGTGGCCTGCTGGTGGTTGGGTCATGGGGAATGGCCCACTCCATCTCTCTGGTCCATACCCTATTGCTATCCCAGCTATCCTTCTATATGAATCAAGAGATTCCCCACTTCTTCTGTGATCTAGGCCCACTCTTAGGGCTCTCCTGCTCTGATGCCCACCTCAATGAGGAACTAGTGATGGCTCTCACTGGGCTTTTAGGAATCTGTCCTCTCCTTTGTATTATAAGCTCTTATGCCTATATTTTCCATGCTGTAGCTAGGGTTCCATCTGCAAAGGGGAAAAAGAAAGCTCTGGCTACATGCAGCTCCCACCTCTCCACAGTCATCCTATTTTACAGCACAGTCTTTGCTGCTTATCTGAAGCCGCCATCAAAGTCTCATTCTTCTGGGGAGGTAGTCACTGCTGTCATGTATACCCTGGTAACCCCCACTATCAACCCTTTCATTTATAGTCTGAGAAATAAAGATGTGAGGAGTTCTCTGAAAAGGATTCTGGGCATGGAGAGTTCTCAGGATTAGAGGTAATCCCCATAACTAAGCACTTTGGGGGAAATCACTCCCCATTTTGTCACATTTGCAAAGTGAGTCTGTTAGCACAAAGGCTGTTCAATCGATTGGAAAGAACACTAAAGTAGAAATCAGGAGAACTAGATTCTAGGTCCCACTTTGTTCTTGCTGTTATTACGGGCCATACAAGTCGACTCCAAGTCACAGCAACCCTTGTATAACACACTTAATGTCGTCTGCTCCAACACCAACTTCATAACTGCTGTGTTTGAGCCCACTGTTGCATTCACTGTTTCAATCCATCTCATTAAGGGTCTCTCTTTTTCATTGAGCTTCTACTTTACCAAGTATGATGCTCTTCCCCAATGACTGGTCCCTCTCTAGATATAGGTTTTAATTAACAGGGAAGCTTCAAAAGGTTCATAGAAAAAGTTATTATCTTTTAATTTCATTTTCCCACAATCTTTTTGAAGCCCCCTCATACACATGAGGGGTAGATTGGATTAGCAGTTTTAAAACACTGCCTTCTAACAATAATACCATTGAAATTTGATTATTCACTGACATAACTACTACATTTTTATTGTCTTGTCATTTCTACCAGTGATTTAATAATCAAGGTCCTCACTGACACCTTTACAACAGTCACCTTGGTTGTCATCAGAATCACCATGAAAATTATCGTCTTCAATGCTATCACCACTGACATCACCAATGCCATCACCACTATTAAAAGAAATCTTTTTAGTTCCTTTATCCCCTCATCTATAAATATATGTGTGTTTATGCTATGTCTGAGAGTCTCTCTGAAATTTCTGATAGTTATGGCTAAGATTTTAAACATAGGCAAGAGTGGTGGTGGTGGCGGTGGTGGTGATGTGCCATGGAGTCGGTTCCAACTCATAGAGATCTTGTGTTTCTGAGGTTGCACATCTCTAAGGGAGCAGAAAGCCTCATCTTTCTCCTGCAGAGTGGCTGGTAGACTTGAACCACAGACGTTGTTGTTAGCAACCCAACTCATCTTACAGTACACAACCAGAGCTCCTTAGGCAAGAGTAGGAGGACTTTTTAATACTTTGTTTTTTAATAAAATAAAGGATATTTCCCATATAAGTTTTATTCATGGTTTGTTCTGCAAGCAAAAAATACTTTATACATTACTCAATGAATGGATTCTTCTTTCAGATATAGACTCAAAGGATGATTCAGAGAAAAGATTTGTTGTACTGTATTACAAAAAGAATGTACTCTAACTAGTGCAGTCACTATGATATGTCCAGTTTATCCCACTATGATATGTCCATTGTATCACTAAATACTAGCTCAAAGCAGAAACTATAACCTGTGCTTCTTTGTATTATACCCTATGGCTCATGTTATTATGCCTTAAAAACAATAGGGTCTTATTAAACACATAACAAGAAATTGTGTCCTGGTGTGGTGCTGTGAGTTAATGCATCAGACCAGCAAAGTCAGTGGTTCAAGCTCACCAGCTGCTCCTAGGAAACCTTATACATGGTCATTATGTGTTAGAATTGACTCGATGGCACTTAACAACAACAAAAACAATTCTATTCAGGACAGACATAGATGCATGGATTAGATAGAGCTCTGATTTAGGAAGAATAGCCCTGAAATTCTCAGACTGGATTCTCTGTTCAGCAGTTATACTTGACCAATGCACAGCTCTGTCTTTCCTTTTGGGTAATCTAGAAGCAAATTATTTTTAAACAGTATTTTTTTTAATACGAAAAATTAGTTTTTGATGAAAGCTTGCGCAGCTAGTTAGGTTTCCATTGAACAGTTTCCACTAAAGTTGTTTGATATTAGTTCCATTTATCACAACGTATCAACATTCTCTTTCACTGTGTTCAGTTGTTCCCTTTCTAGTACTCTAGTTTCCCTGTCCCCTTATCTTCTCATCTTTGCTTTTGAGTAATTGTTGAACTTTTGGTCCCATACTAATGGTTTTTAAGTACAGCACCAATCTTATAAATAACCTTTATTTTGTGTGATGCTGCTATCTCGCTAAATGGTGATCTCATTTCTAAGTCTACAGAGTGTTTCAGGATAATAGTCCCAGGGATTCATCTGCTCTCTACTTTTCCAATTTGTCTGACTTTTTAAAAAATAAGAATATGATTTCTACTTTATATTTTTCTCCCATCCGATCTTGGACCAGCTATTGTAATCCCAGGCAGAGCAGTGAATGTGGAAGCCAACCATCATCTAGTTCTAGAAGTAAATTTTCTTCCTATTTCTGACCTACTATTTCATCACAGTGAATATTCAGAAAAATATTTTCCAAAGAATGATTACTAAATGAATAATCCAAGTTGAGATCTCCTCTGGCCCTACAAGCATTCTCCTGTTCCTCAAGATTTGGTGGATGAAGTTTGTTTTGTTTTCTGAATGTCCACCCTTTCCATTCCAACCTTATACCAAGGCCACCCCACAACACCAAGAGATGGACTTTCCTTTGATATATTGTTATTCAGTAGTATCCAATGACCGAAAGTGTCCAGCTGATCAAAAGTGACAGAAGGAGATCAAAGGGAGAGAAAGTCTTTGGACTGGAGTCGCTATAGCTGACTGGAGTCACCAAGCCTACACAAGTTCACCAGCACTCATCTGTCAGTTTGTCACAGTGTGATGAAGTTGCTGTGATGCTGAAAGCTACGTCACCAGCATTTCAAATACCAGCTGATCACCCCTGGTGTACCATCATACAGAAGATCTATATCATCAGTCAGAATAGGTAGGGGAGCAGATCATCAATACTCCTATGCAAGTTCAAGTTAAAACTGAAGAAAATTAAAACAAGTCCACAAGAACCAAAATACAACCTTGAGTGTATACCACCTGAATTTAGAGACTATCTCAAGAGTAGATTTGACACATTGAATACTAATGACCAAAGACCAGACTAGTTGTGGGATAACATTAAGAACATTATACATAAAGAAAGCAAAAGGTCATTGTGAAGACAGAAAAGAAAGAAAAGACCAAAAATAACAGACATCAGAATTGACTTTAAAACTTGATCTAAAACATGTTGTTGTGTTAGGTATCATCAAGTCGGTACCAACTCATATTGACCCTATGCACAACAGAACAAAACACTGCCCGGTCCTGGGCCAACTTCACAATTGTTGCCATGCTTGAGCTCATTGATGCTGCCACTTTGCCAATCGATATCGCTGAGGGTCTTCCTCTTTTTTTTCTGACCCTCTACCTTACCAAACATTATATTCCTCTCCAGTGACTGGTCCCTCCTGACAACAGAGACGCTAAAGAGAATGGAAGAAATGAGGACATAAAAGAGCTAAACAGAAAATTTCAAAGGGCATCTGGAGAAGACAAAGGATAATGAAATGTGCTAAAACCTGGAGTTAGCAAATAAAGAGGGAAGAACACATTCAACATTTTTCAAGCTGAAAGAACTTTAGAAAAAAATCATCAAACTTCAAGTTGCAATACTTGAAGGATTCTATGTACAAAATATGAACGATACAAGAATCATAAAAAAAAAAAGATAGAAGGAATACACAGAATCAGTGTACTAAAAAGAACTAGCTAATGTAAAAGATTTCAGAAAGTAGTATATGATCAAGAACAGATGGCATGAAGGGAAAAGTCCAAGATGCACAAAGGCATTGGTAAAAACAAGGCTCTAGAAATTGATAGAACACCAAACGAAATGTTCCAACAAACTGATGCAACACTGGAAGCACTTACTCATCTATGCCAAGAAATTTGGAAAGCAATTACCTGGCCAACCAATTGAAAGAGATTCATATTTGTACCCATTCTAAAGAAAGGTAACCAATGAAATGTAGAAATTATTGAATAATTTCATTACAATCAAACCCAAGTAAAATTTTGCTGAAGATAATTCAAAAAAGCTTACATAGACAGGGAACTGTAAGAAATTCAAGCCAAATTCAGAAAAGGACATAGAATAAGGACTATCAATGCTGACATTAGATGGATCTTAGCTGAAAGCAGAGACTAGCAGAAAAATGTTTGATGGTGATGGTTATGTGCCACGGAGTTGGTTCTGACTCATAGGGACCCTGTATAGGGTTACTGAGGATGTAAATCTTTACAGGAGAAGAAATCCTCATCTTTCTTCCACTTGTACTTTTGAACTGCAGAGCCTGAGGTTAGCAGTCCAACTCATAAAAATGTTTACTTGTGTTTTATTGACGATGCGAAGGCATTTGACTGTGTATCACAACAAACGATGGATAACATTGTGAAAAATTAGACTTCCAGAACTATTCATTGTCATCATGCATAACATGTACATAGAACAAGAGGCATCTGTTCAAACAGAACAAGGGGATACTGAGTGGTCTAAAATCAGGAAAGATGTACATGAGGGTTGTATCCTTTCACCATAATTATTCAGTCTGTATTCTGGGCAAACAATCAGAGAAGCTGGATTATATGAAGAAAAACCTGTCATTAGAATTAGAGGAAGGGTCATTAACAACCTATAATATGCAGATTACACACCTTACTTGTTGAAAGCAAAAAGGACTTGAAGCACTTACTAATGAAGATCACAGACTACAGTCTTCAATAAGGATTACACCTCAGCATAAAGAAAACAACAGTCCTCACAACTGAGCCAATAAACAACATCTTGATAAACAGAAAAGATGGAAGCTGTCAAGGACTTCATTTTACTTGAATGCACAATCAACATCAATGGAAGAAGCAGTTAAGAAATCAAAAGATGTATTGTACTGGGCAAATCTGTGCAAAAGATCTCATTAAAGATTAAAGAAAAAAGATAACACTTGAGGATTAAAGTGTGCCTGACCCACGACCTGTTATTTTCAATCACCTCATATGCATGCAAAAACTGGACAATGAATAAGAAAGACCAAGAAGAATTGATGCTTTGAATTATGGTGTTGGTGAATATTAAATATACTATGGACTAAGGTGTGCCTGACCCAAGCCATGGTATTTTCAATAACCTCATATGCACACAAAAGCTGGACAGTGAATAAAGAAGACCGTAGAAGAATTGATGCTTTTGAGTTATGGTGTTGGGGGAGAATATTGAAAGTGCCATGGGCTGCCAAAGGAACCAACAGATCTGTGTTGGAAGAAGTGCAGCCAGAATGCTCCATGGAGGCCATGATGGCCAAATTTCATCTCTCATACTTCGGACATATTGTCAGGAGGGACCCATCGCTAGAGAAGGATACCATGTTTGGTAAGGTGGAGGGTTACAGAAAAAGAGGAAGACTCCCAGAGAGATGGATTGGCAGAGTGGCAGTATCAATAGGCTCAAGCGTGGCAATGATTGTGAGGTTGGCCCAGTACAGGGCAGTGTTTCATTCTGTTGTACATAGGGTCGCTAAGAGTCAGTACTGACTCAATGACACCTAACAACAACAACAATGGGCTACCAAAAGAATAAACAAAGTTGTCTTAAAAGAATAACAGCCAGAATGCTCCTTAGAAGTGAGTATGGCATATTTTGGTCATGTGATCAGGAGGGACAAGTCCCTGGAGAAGGGCATCATACTTTAATAGAGTGGAAGGTCAGCAAAAAAGAGAAAGACGCGCACTGAAATGGATTGACACAGCACCTGTAATGAAGGCTTCAAACATAGGAAAGATTATGAGGATGGGGAAGTACTGTACATCATAGTATGAAGCCTAAAGATAAAGTAGATACTGATATAGTAAGACATTCATTACATAATGTTCTCTGGAAAACTAGATTACAAACGCTATTATCCAACTTGAGATATATGAAATGTCATACAGCAGTAACATAAATAGCCTGTATTTCTAGGGTTTTTTATATGTTCTTGTTATTGATTATCTTTATTTTTATATTAGATATTCATGGTCTTTTAAATAAAAAACTAATAACACTTTAAAATACATTTTTGATCTAACATGAAAATTGTTGCCATCCTCACTTTTAGAGTAGCTCTAGAAGAGATCAGAGAGGAATGCCAGAATAAAACAAATCCATAGTTCTCCAGCCAATCTTAGAAGACTTCCTGATGGAGCTGTCCAAAGCCGAAGCTATAATCTTCATCACCCTCCTTCTTCAGTTTGTTTGTTTATTATAGAGAAGTTTCCACAATGTCTGATGAACCTCCTTGTTCCTCAGGGTATAGATCACAGGATTAAACATAGGGGTGACCACAGTGTAAAGCAGAGCAAAGACCTTGGAAAGGAGCTGGTAGTGGACAGCAGAGGGTGCAATGTACAAGGCCATAAGGGTTCCATAGAATGTGGACACTACAGCTAAGTGAGAGGAGCAGATAGAGAAAGCCTTTCGCCTGCTGGCCCCAGCAGGAATTCTTAGCACAGCCACCAGTATCCGGGCATAGGAGGTGAGAATTAGCCCAAAGGGAACAGTGAGGCAGACCACGGAGAGAATGATGGTTGTCACCTGGGCCACTCTGGGATCTGAGCAAGCCAGCTCCACCAAAGGCATGAAGTCACAGTAAAAGTGGTCAATGTGATTAGGACCGCAGAACCTCAGCTGTGACATCAGAGCCACAACAAATCCATCTACAATGAAACCAGACAGCCAGGCTGTGACCACCAGCCCCAAGCACCATCTAGGCCCCATCAGGAGTTGGTATTGGAGTGGGTAACAGATTGCCAGGTAGCGATCATACGCCATGACAGCCAACAGGAAACATTCAACTGTGGCTAGAGAGCCAAAAGTAAAAAATTGAAGCAAGCAACCAGCCACAGAAATGACAGCTTCCTTCAAGAAACCCTCCAACATTTTTGGCAGCACTGTGGAAGTGTAGAGGATCTCCAGCAAGGACAGATTAGCCAGAAAGAAATACATGGGTGTGTGGAGCTTCTGGGAGCTAACCACTGCCACAATGATTAGCATATTCCCTATGATAATTGAGGCATAAACAACAGTGAACACAATAAAGAAAAGGAGGTGTAGCTCAGGGATGTTATAGAAACCAAGGAGAACAAATCCAGTAGTGGTTTGGTTTGCTATGGAGATGGCTTCCATGTGGATCGGCCACGTGTCTGTTTGGCAGTAATTGGGAAGAAACTTCAATGCACTTCTCTATCTTCCACACTAAACCTAAGATTAGTAGGGCTAAAACAAAAAGGATCAGAGTGAGTTTCCAAAACAAGAATCACTTAACACAAATCCTTATTCATTCCACCTTTTAGTAACATTCCCTCAACTCCTATCCCTCCCTGCATTCCTTATTTGTGTGTGTTGTTCTCCAACGCTCTAGGAGTTCATCCAAATTCAAAATCTTATTCTTTCAAAGTCTCTCTTAGTTCGGTCTATCTATAATATAATGAAGTTCATATCCTAATCATTATATGCAGCCATAGCCTCTCTGTTGAGCGTCGGTGTCAGTGTAAGATCCTGCAACTCCCTACTGCTGTTGTTAAGTGCTGTTGAGTCACTTTTGACTCATAGCAACCTTGCATAGGGTGTCCGAGAAGCAGCTAGTGGATTTGAACTGCCAACTTGAGGTTAGCAATCCAGTGCTTATCGAATAGCACCATCTCAGGACATCAAATGCCTGGTTCATTAAAATAGCCTCTCATCAACTCAAATTCAGGTCCTCGGTCACAATTAAATCTTCTATCAGTGGTTGAAAATTTCTGCCTGATACCCAACCTCATAATCATCTTTCATTAATCAATGAGGAGTTTTATACTTCATTGGCCTAGAAATCCCATAGGTCTTTCCCATCCTCCCAATTCCTGCTTCTATAAGCTATTTCCTTCCCTCTGCCTTGCTTGGCAAGGAGCTCTGGTAATGTAGTGGTTATGAATTGGGCTGCTAATCTCATGGTCAGCAGCTCGAAGCTACCAGCTGCTCCGTGGGAGAAAGATGAGGTTTTCTGCTCCCCTAAAGATTTACCTAGGAAACCCTCCCTTACAGGATCACTATGAGTTGGAACCAACTCCATGGCACATAACAACAACAACAGCTTTGCTTGGCATGCCTTTTGTGGACTACATTTAACTAAAGATTTTTTTTATGTGTTCAAAGCCCAATCTGAGACTTTGATTCTTTCTACAGCATTCTTGCCCAAGAGGAGAATACAAACAAGGCTAAAACACTTCCAATGATAATAGCTCACAACCCCCCCACCCCAGGCAATCAATGGAATATTTGAATCATTTAGACTATTAGCAATTTGTTCCTAAAGTAACTCAACTTATTCGTCTTCCAGGTAATAAATAAAGTATAATTGTACTTTTTTATATCAGTCCTTCAGCTACTTGAAACCAGAAAAAAGTGGAGTAGATGAACAAAAATAAATTAAGAACAGATATAAATTTCATTATTTTATTATGAAACAGACAAGTGTCTATTCCAGTCCCTTTATGACTATTCAGAAAATAGTTGTTCCATCTCCCTCCTTCCACTCATCCTGGAGAGTCTATTTCAAGGAATACAAAATGATGTGTTTCAGGGGAAATTATTTGGATTTCAGGGTAAATCAAAGGAAAGGAAATTCCATTGCCCTCTAAATGCAAGAGGGACTAAAGTCCAAAGCATATGTCCCTTGGTGCCAATCTGTGAGGCATTACAAAGGCTCCAGTAGTGCCTCCCTCCCCCATATGAGTATCCCTAGGTATCCTTCACCTTCATGCTGGTACTAAACAGTTGCTAAACAATGCTGGTTGAGGGGATTAGGGGTTGGGGGTGGGGGATGGATTGAGGGAGGGAAAGAAGCTGAAAGTTTAGATGGGGATGAAGCAGAGTGGAATATAAATATGATAGTTCAGGATATCTTTGCTTTAGAACAAAACCAAGACCATGTAGTTCACTTACACATGAGCTAAATAAGCTAACCAACCTGAAACAGAAAAATTCCATTTCCTATTCTAAAGTAGAAACACGTGCCTATTTGTCACCTATGTGTGAGTCCTAGTGTGGCACTGTAGGATAAAGAACTGGACCAAAAGGTTGATTTGAGCCACAATGTTGGCAGTTCAAACTCACTATCTGCTCCTCAGAAACCCTACACAGGGTCACTATGATTCAGAACTGACTCATACAGGGTCGCTATGAGTCAGAACCAACTTGATGGAACATAACTCTGTATTGGGTTTCCAAGAAGTGGCTGGTGAGTTTGAACAACTGACCTTTCAGTTGAAACCCTTTGGTCCAGCGCTTATCCTACAGGTCACACCAGGACTCCATGCTTTAAATGTTTTATGCAAAATTAATTCCATTATCTTTTAATTCAATTTATCCATAAACTTTTTTAAATTCCTTCATATGTATGTCTGTGTGAGAGAGTCACAAGAGGTTACCAGCAGAGCGTTTATGAAAATATGGTTACATTCCAGCTCCATAACCAGATTGGAATTTTCTAGTTTCCCCATATGAAAACTATATGAAACATTCTGAATTTTCATGACATCACATTTGGAGCCCTACTGTTCAAGGATCATGGGATGAAATTGAGAAGAAAGAGGAAGTAAAGAGGAAGCAAAGGGATGTGAAGAGTAGGGGAAAATGAGAAAAACACAGCAAAGTAGGGTATGTTAGCAAAGAGAGATCATGAAACAGTGGATGGAGCTAAATTTAGAGTTAGAAGACTTCATGAAATAAAGTTGAATTGGGTATTGGGAGACTCCAAAGAATACAAAAAGGGTTTGAAATTAAGAGGAATTTCAGCATACAAGCTGTAGGGAAAATGACTATTGTTTGAAGGACTTCCAATCACGAACTCAACCCTATATAGCTAAAAGCCGTATCATTTTATCCTGACCCTCTGAGATAGCATGGGTCCTGCAGTTACAACTGTCACTTATTCTGGAAAAGCAATTCAAAGAAACTTACATGAAAATTATTAAGAAATATATACCAAATTGTGAAGTTTAATTTACCTTTTAGAAACAGAGCAATTTTATTCTCATACATATTTAGCAAAAGAGGCCTGGTGGCAATTGCTAACCAACAAGTCAGTGGTTTGAACCCAAGAGCAGCTCTTTGGGAGAAAGATGTGACAGTTGGCTTCTGTAAAGATGACACTCTTGGGAACTCTATGGGGCAGTTCTACTGTGTTCTATAGGGTCACTATAAGTTGGAATTTACTCCAGGACAATGGGTTTCATTTATCTGTTTTACAATGTCTACTAGGGATATGGTGGGGTTTTTTTATGAACTTACACAATGAAGATATTTTTATTTAGTTTGATTTTTAATCCATTAATATTCTTCAAACCTATTTTTCAAATACTCTATAATAAAATAAAAAGTATATATATACTTTAAATGTATAAAAGAAAACAGTGCTAATTTACATAAATCCTACTTTGGTCATTCCATAAGAAAGCAAAAGGACGAAGTTCCACCATGAAAAAATTGGCAGAAGGGTGTCCTACCTTCTTCTACTCTATAATATACCAACTGATGCTTGGAAAGCATCTACAAAGAAAGCTGGAACACAACAGGAAGCACTGGAAATCAATTTTTTTAGGGTCCAGCAAGAAGGTAGCACCACTAAGATTCCAGAAGAACACTGGAGGGTTCCTGAAATGCCTTTGGAAAAAAAGACCTTTAGAATCTCTGTGTTAATTGTAATGTGTTGCTGATTAAAGGAGAAAAGACTGTAAAGATCAAATCTTGATCTTGTTTAAAAGATCTGTGAACTAAGCTACAAAGAATTATGCCAAAATAGGAAACCCACCTGAAACCACAACCCTGCTCTCTAATGAGTGAAGAGGAGAAGATATAGTGAGACTTGCTGAAGACATCAGGATGTTGGAATTCCCTACTTTCAGCTTCCTTCCTTCCTTCTTGAGCTCAATCTGAAATGAAGTAGGATATTAACTACAAATGTTACCTTTGTTACCCTCCATACTCCAGAGCCATTTTCTCTTCCACCCTTCATTCCTTTTTCTAGCTCCCAGACTACTGTGTCCTTTCACCGTAAGTTCTTCCCTTTTTCACAAGGGCAAGCTAATAGTTGCCGAGAGTGGTGATACCCCTGAGAACCAATTAATGATACACTGGAAAGCAAGCTTAAATGAAGAAGAGAAATCAGCCCCTGAGGCCCTTGTCTTTTTCTTGATGTTAGCTTGACCGAAAATGAAGCAGAACCAAGAGTGACATGGGAACCCATCTTTCTATCCTCACAGGGACTAATGCTCTCCACTCCATCAGCACCTAAACTCTAAATTCCCAACGTTTTCCCCAGAACTCATTACCAAATTCTCCTCACTTCTCTGCAAGTAACCAAACCCAACTTCCAATAGTGGTCCTCCCAGAAGCCTTCCCTCAACTCTCACTTCCCACTCCTCTCATCTTCCCATTTCAACATGCTGTTGTTGTTCTTGTTTATATGCTGTCAAGTCAGTTCTGACTCATAGTAGTCTTATATAGGGTTTCTGAGGAGTGGCTGGTGGGTTTGAACTGCTGACCTTGTGGTTTGCAGTCCAGTGTTTATCCTACAGCACCACACCATGACTCCTAAGTAGGAATGTTTTATATATGTCTGTCAAGGATTGTCAATGCCTGACTGATACCTCTGTCTTTCATTAATCCCTTCTGAGAACTCCCCAGAGAAATCAGACTCATCTATTCACCTCTCAACCCCAGGACTGTGTTCAAGGCACTACTCTGCCATTTGTCTAAGGTAGACCCTTACTTCAGCCTACTTTATAGCATGAAAGTCTGAAGACATTTTGCCTACAGATGACTCCAATCAGGCAGAGCTTAGTTCCATCTTGTGCCTTGGTTTAAGTTTTCAACTGCCACTCTTGTCTTGAATATGTCATGTACCTCTAACATCCAAACTACCAAATTCAGAAGCAGACTGAAAGTGAGTTTGGGGCCACTTGCCCCAAGCCAGCATAAGAAGAACAGAAACTCCCTGCAAGAGCTTTCCTGGACCTTTTACAGCTGTAGGAGCCACCTGGTTGTGATGCCATACTACAAGAGCCTCCAAGACAGTAATTAAGCTTTTCTATTTACAATAGTCCCTCCCTACTTTGTAGGCCCAGCATGTTGATATAACTCATTGC